TTTCAGGAGTTTCTTAAGGTTAAAACTGCCAAAAACGTCTTGCTTCAGGATTTGAAATAAGTCTGCTGCAAAGACTTTCTCTTTTATCTGCGCCAGCAAGTCACTATCAGTTTTCCCAGGCAAGGTGTTTCTTGAGGCAGTCGAGGTAGTAATACTTTGGTCGCCAAAGTTGTATTGGGAACTAAGCGTAGCCTTCAAATACTCCAGTGGTTTCTGAACTTCAAGAGACTCCAGTTCTTCATGGGAAAAACTGGTCGATTGAGTGCTAGTCGAAGTATTGAATGGAGGATCTTTAGACTGATTGTATTGGTTCACTTGGCCTCCCAAAGCCTCCACCCCAACCTTTGCCTCATGTGCAGTTTTCTCCCCTTCCTCTTCTTCTTTTTCTTCTTCTTTTCCTTCTTCATCTTCCTTTTTTTTCTTCTTCGTCTTCTTCTTCTTCTTCTTCTTCTTCCTCGTCATTTTCCTCTTCGTTTTCTTCTTCCTCTTTGACGGGGTTGTCATCCTCACTTATCTTTCCCTCGAGATCACCCTCAGTAGGTTGCTTTATATTAGGTATCACGGTGTCCCCAGAAAGGTCAACAATCTCTTTCTCGACCGGATCCTCTTTTTGAGCAGACGCTTTGATATGGGGAGACTCCGCCACAAGAACAACTGGTGTCTTCTTGAGATTATCGGTAGAATGGATGTCCTCCTCAGAACCTTTTGTCAAGCCTCTTGCAGAGGCCCCAGACGGAGTTATTGGATGGTAGCTTGGGTCACTACTGGTTGTGGGGATAAGTTGCGTCACCATGGGATGACCCCTAGTGTCGGTAGTAATCTATGAAGGCAAAAGAAAAAAATTAGAAGAGTCAATGATAAAGAAGCGATACAAGGTTATAGAAGAAGTTGTTACCTTGGGCTCATCAGCCCCAGGACTAGCAGAAGTTGTTGTTAAAGAGAGTTTGCCAACCTTTGGTTTTGGCTGGTTGAAGGCTTCGGTTATCTTCGTTTGCTTCCTCCTTCTTTTCAAAGTTTGTTCTTCAGGAGGAGATTGGTCCTCCTCGTCTGACTCGATGATGATTTATTGGGAAGTCCCCCTTGTCTTTTATTTCTTGGGATTAAGGGGTGGCCTTTATGAACTCTGAAAGAAAACTTGAGGCATCAGACAAGAGAAGGCTTTGCAGTCAAGGAAAATGAAGTAAGAAATTCACCTTAGCAATTGGAGTGCTTTCCTCTGTTTGTTCTTTGATTTGCTTCTTCTTTTTCGGGGCAACTTTAACAGCTGAAATTCAAACAAAATAATACAAGTAAGATGATAAAAAATCAAATAGGAGAATTTAGTTCGAAAAACCTCAATTTCCACACCTTCATATATTTCGGATTTGATGCGAACATCTTCGATACCGATATAAAGAGGACCTTTGAAACTGTCTAAAGTATGCTTAGTCGCAACCACTCGCTGAGCCTTTGGTTTTAACTGTTGGCAAAGAATCTTTATGGAATCCCCACAGATAAACTAGTCTAGAAATGGAGGGGCAAGGGCCACCCTGAAATCATCATTTGGTAGTCGAGGAAATTTCATAGGAAATTGTTTGAAAGTCAGTGTGTACCGTTCCTTGGGAGGAACGAACGAATGGAGTTCCAAATTTTCCATTTTCTTTAAAAAAAATTCCTTTAAAGTAACAGCTACTTCGTGGACGGTTCAACTAAGGTCATCTGGTCGATAAACATTTTTAAAGTACTTCTGGAATGATTGGATTTCTTTGATGTGTGCCATATTACCTTTCTTGATCTTCTCCTGCACAAAGAGAAAAGCTTGATTAATAAGTCGAGTAAAAGAAGGTGCATCAAAGAATTCTTTGGTATAGTATGATGACCACCAGTGTTTGAACTCTAGGGTATAGTAGAAACAGGAATCGAAGCCAATAGGGACGAGTTGAACTTTGTTGGAGTAGCGAAGAAGGTGTGTCGTAGCCATTTCCTCAGTATACTTCACACCGTGAAGTAGATGGGCACATTTCTTTTCGAACAGGAATTTGGGGAGTGTTTGGACTAGACCGAACTATCGAGCCACTAAGTTTGGTTGATAGGCAACCAAAGCAACTTGAGACTTCGAAAAATTCAGCCGAAGTGTTATCAACCTTGGGATAAAAAAGGCTTCCCATATTTGTGAAGTTTCAGCCTCTAGATTTTTGTTTGGAGTCGGGAAAGGTCTGGTGAACCACTCAGGACCATGTTTCCTTACAGCAAATTGGGCCATGTTCGAAGTAAATTCATGACGTTTTGCAAACATCATGATGTAGCTTAGGAACATTGGCCTAAGGGTTTGTCCTTCTTCGTGGGGAGTAAGTTGGACCAAGCGTGTTCCTTCGATTCTCCTATTTTTGATCTCATCAGCAGCTTCGTCGATTAAACTCTTGTTGGGAAGTCTAGCTTCGAACGAGGCATTCAACCAAAGTTGCAAAAGCCAGAAAGGACCAGGCAATAGCAAGTTTCCATTTGCTCCCAAGTGTTTGAGTTAGGCTACCCCTTCACTTAGAGACTCATAAAGGTTCCCTAGAATCATTTCACTTAGGTAGATGTTGTGGCCTCTGTGGAGTTGAGTGGCTAGAGTCAGGTATCTCCTAGCCACTTGTAGGGACTTCGAGCAGAAAACGCAGCGGGATAACCATACGATTAAAAAGGCTATATGTTTCTGATCAAAAATATCAGCAGTGGTCTTATCAAAAAAGTGTGTTATAAAATGAGAGTGGGTGGCCTTTGCGGAATTAAAACCTATGGAATCGTCAGATTCCAAGTCAGGATTGTATGGGTTTCTAGTGGGTTTAAGCCCTGTAATAGCGGCTACGTCGAAAATAGTGGGGGTCATCGTCCTACAAGGAAGATGAAAGGTGTAATGAGTACTATCTCAGAAATATAAGGAAGAGACTAACATGGTTTGACAATAGTTGAGGCTTGTTTTCGACAACATGATTAAATCATAAATTCCTAGTTTTTTTCAAGTTTGAGCTTTTACTTTCTAAATCTTTGCCAGCCAGTTCATATAATCATCTGATTCTTTGAAGGAGGGTGTCGCTCTAAAAATCCTAAAGTTATTGTTCATATATCTTAAATCTATGTTGTTCAGCACTACCGCATCAGCGGAGATTTTCTCAACCTTAGCTTTGTTGGCTTGTCCTATGGGTTTAAATTTGTGGTAGGAAGGGAAAAAATCTCTTGCTTTATTATGGTTAAAACCAGATGAAGGCAAAGGCCCACATAGGACATGCGTTTTACCAGATACAACAAGAGGGATAAGTACCTGGGATTTGTATATTTTCCTCTTCTCTTTTGCAAGCAGTTCAGGGAGAAATTGTTGGTTCCCCATCATCATTGGTGTTGATAACGTATTAAAGGTTGGGAGTTGATTGATTTTCTTCAGGTCTTTGGAATTTTGGGTTCTCTTAGAATCTTTGAAGTTGGTAGTGGAGGACACCATTGTTGAGATTTTTGCTGGAGAATCTGGGTTTGTGGTTAGAAGTTTGGAAATGAAGAAACTGAAAAGTTGTTTGGAAATTTCTGAGAGCGTAAAAGTTGCAACAAGTAAGTTTTGAGAAATTTATAGACTTGTGGAAGATCAAAAGACCTCAAATCAACATTAAAGAGCTAGGAGTTAGTAGAGGACGTGTCCCACAATGACCGTTTGACAAAATATGGTTAATAGTGCCTAATGCACTATTTCCTAGTACTTAGGGATTGTGATGATGGCTAGAGGTAATGGCGTGCTTTGAGGAGACGTGTTGCAGAAAGTGTCATGATAAGTCTGACGTCATAGACCTTTGAAATAGTAAGAGACATGCAAGAATCGTTTGAGGCGTCGAATGATACTATCAAAAAATGTCTTGTTCTTCATTGATGTCGAAAATGACATTTTTTGGGGGGCAATTTATTGGCTCCTAATTTCGACGCCTGGATAAAGTTAAAAATAAAAGATAGAGTTTTCCGGAGAAATCTAATTACTTCGACTAAAACTATGTTTTATGGAATAAGAGTCGAATACGGGTTTTCGCCAGGAGGTTCTATGTTGTGGACTTAGAGATATTTCTCAATAGTTGGAAGACCCAATTCGACAGAAGCATTGTTCAAGGGCGTTTTGACGAGAGTTCATTTGAATTCAAATAAAAGAGGAAAAGTCCGTTTAGAGAAAGACAAGTGGAGCATCCCGGTGGTTCGAAGGCATACGTAGTGACACTTGTCTTGATCTTACTTGTTAGCCGTTAATAGCGGTTATGTTCGATGGTTATAAACAACAGGTCTTAGTATTAAGATGTGTGTGCTCAATTGTGTACAAAATCTCCATTTACTCTAAGTATCCGTGTGATTGACAGAAACGGGTCGTGAGAATATACGTTGACTAAACACCAGTTTTATTTCAATGCAATTTAACACTTCTTTTACTTAAAAGTTTGGTTTTCTTTATCCAAGTTATTATCCTTGTCATTTATCAGCATTTTACTTTCTTTTGTTGTTACTTAAATTCGTTCATACTTGAAATAAGTTGTCTTACCATGAAACTCGTCGAAGTGTTCATAGTTTTCATTCACTTCATTTAAAAGACCAATTAGCACATGTCCTAAAATTTGTGTGATCGATCCTACAAGTAACACAAATCTCTTTTGATTTATTAGACCAGCGGTTATTCGCCGATTTTCACGACAAATATTCACATATAAGACACATACCATTTGTAGACTACTACCCGAACAAAATATCTCAGAAGCTAGAAATAATAATTGCACGTGATTTAATTTTGTCACAAAATATTCATCTCTGTATGATATTATTGATATTATTGAAGGAATAGAAAATAAAATGCGAGTCAAATATCACAGCAGAATGTAGAAACCAACCAATGTTATACAAAACAAAATTGAGCATAGTAGAGTAAATAATAAGAGAAACTTATAATCTATGGTGGAAGATTTGAATAATTGTTAACTATATTATAATGTAATGGGAGATGACAAAACAGACAACATCTAGAAAGGTGATATCAAACTCTCAACATATACTTGTAGTGTCGTCGCATACTCTCTGCTGTATTGAAATTTAGAAGTCTTAAAAATATTATTTATGAAATCATAAACCACCAACTTAAATTTTCCATCCTTAAGAAACTCCATCAGCACTTGGTCATCATTTGAAATATCTAATGCTCTGGTATAGGCATAAAAATTACATCCTACCATGGAAGGAACAGTTAACAATTTAGTCCAAGAACTTTCATTACCATATTCCTTCATAATCCAAATATCTGAAAACTTGTCCCTCGTGTCAATGAGGGACAAACAACCCCTCAATGTCCCTAAGACTTGCACATCAAAGACCATATTGATAGGCAGTGAAAGCTTTTCACAGGACTCTTTCTCCAAATCAAGAGAAACAATGAACCGTGCAGCATCACCACAGACATATACCAACCAATTAACAGAGTCACTCACAAATATTCCCGGTACAGGAGGAGCCAACAAAGGATTTGGGAAGTCTTGAATCCTTCTCCAATAATCAGTACCCACAGTATGAACATTGATTTCATATTTTCTACCAGTAGAATTAAAAGAAATAATCTTATAATTATTGGTGAAACGATCATACACTAAGGTATATGAGGCAAATAATTGCTTTGGAAGATTCAAAGGAGGCAATATTTTGAGTTTTCTAATGGAAGGGTTACACAAGAGAGCGGAAGAACCATCTATCATCAAACATACCATGCCGTCGCAAGTGGAAGCACTATTAGGATAGGCTCCTTTGATAAGAATCTCTCCAATAGAGTAGCTGAAGTGTTTGACACTAGTAGTGCATGTGGAGCTGAAGGTAGAGGAGATTGGGGAATGTAAAACAAGGAACTCGTGTGAGGAGTGATTAGGGGTTATGATGAGGTGGTGGTGGTCATGGCTGGAGGTTGACAAACGGAGGTGCTTCTTGGCGAAGATGGAATCTGCGGAGATAAGAGAATTCCATGACTTGCAAACACAACGGAGTCGAATGAGGTGTTTCGCGGGGAGTCTGCACAGAATATCTGCCACCAGATCGAACGGAAGATGCAGGGAAGATAGGGTTTGTCGAGAATGTTTCATTCTTTTGCTATTGAGATGAGAACAAGACTAGGGGACTCAGATTCTGAGTAACCGTTTTATAAATTTATTCAGATAACCTAATTTTTATTTCGCAAATCAAGTAACTAACTTTTTTTTAAATTATTTAGTAAACTTATTATATTTATTTTTAAATTTAAAATTCAAAAGGTGGCTATGTTACTCTTCACCCTAACATTGGTAGAAGACTCAAGTAATGTTTTTTATGATATGAATTGCTTTCACATTTATCTTAAGATTATGTATACTGATTTTTTTTTTATAATTATTTTAAAACATTATTTGTTTTTATAATTTTTTTTTAAAATTTTAAAAATCAATGATTTATCATGTGCGAGTCACTCGCATCTACATTAACAGTTGTTTATTTAAAATAAATATGTATCCATCTACACATTTCTATTTCAATTTTATCTACTAAATAGTTTTTTTTATTAATTTATAATTTTACTTTAGCAAAATTATCTAAATAAATTTAATTCTTTATTTTTTAAATAGTTTTGTTTAATTTTTTGTACATACCTTTCCCCATTATTATTTTTATCTATGATAAACATCTTACCATATTCTTTTAATTTTTAATTTATTTTTTAAATATATCATAATTTAATAAATTTAATCATATTTTTGAAATTACTAGTATAGTTTTTATTGCACACGTCCACCCGTCCGTTAACCTTTATGTTTTTATTTTTTATCAATCATTAATATTTCAACAAACTTTAGATATCTATTTTGATTTTTTTTATCAAATTTTTATTTTTTTTATTTTTTTTTATTATTTTATTTTCATCTATTTTGCTTATTTTCTTATCGATCCATCGTAATTATTTCAAAAAATTATGCATGTCTATTTTAAATTTATCCATTAAATATTTATTTTTTGTGCGACAACTTACTAATGAAAATAATTTTTATGTTTTCTTTGATCCTAATGATTTTATGATTTTTTATTTTCAAACGAAAATCCCTCTCATAAAATGTGATAGCTTTGGTTTCTTTATATATATATATATATATATATATATATATATATATATATATATATATATATATATATATATATATATATATATATATATATATATATATATATATATATATATATATATATATATGTATATATATATATATATATATATATATATATATATATATATATATATATATATATATATATATATATATATATATATATATATATATATATATATATATATATATATATATATATATATATATATATATATATATATATATATATGAGAGAGATTGATTTTTCTAATGTTTTTACATATTGTCGATGTCTTAAACAATTCTCTGATCAGTTGAAGAACGTTGGAACACCAGTCAGCTGTCACTAATTAGTCCTTCAACCGGTCTCCAAATTGTTTGAGTCGTATTGGGGATTGCCACCCTAATTTGCTAGAGCAACCCCTTGCCATAAGTTTTTCAATATCGCTCAATGTTCTCCTTAGAGGAATATGTTTTCGCAAAAATGCACAACATTAGTTATCCCATTGCATATCATATTTTCATTCCACGGGACTCAAATGATTCCCCCAGTTGAGCAACAATCGTCGTCAAAACAACCACTTTGGTTCTGGCCGCAACCGCAACAGTTAAACTTGCATCGGAGGGCATGGACAATATGGTGGTTACCAGTCTAATTGTCCCTCATAGACCTCTCAACCATGGGAGAAGCTCCGCTATCCACCCTGATCCCCTTAGGGTTGGACCCCACCTCCTTGGAGTGTGCCTCCTTGCTTTTATCCTACATCTCAGTGGACTCGGCCCACCGATCCTTCAAGGAAACTAGAAATTCTAGGCCAGCATCCTCAGGCTCACACTGCCACGACTTCACCAGCTCCTTGTGAGATTGTAGGTGTTATGCACACCATGTCTCTCACTCCTTCAAACAAGACGTGGTACATGGACACCAAAAATTTGTCCCATACAACGACAACCCAAGGTAATCTTTCGCCTGAACTCCATGGCCAAAAATGCAGATTTTGTTTCTGCTTCAGGGTGACAGAAATCCACTACTACAAAACACGTAAACAACAATGTCATGGTCACCACGGTTCTTCCCTACACCGTGGTGACATCTCTAAACTAATGCGCTATCATATTATTTTTGTTTTTTGATTAAATATTATTTGTATATACCAACAGTTGAGGAGCCAACCGTGGTGATACCATCAAGCTTTCATGGGTTTGAACCTCAGCACCCTCATATATATTATTCCTTTAATGTTAAGGCGCACCTTTTTTTTAAATAAAAAACTTAAGGGTTATGACTAGGTTGATGAGTTACACCGTTGTGATATATTTTGTTTTTTTATTTAAAACTTTTAATTGTAAATTAAACTCTGGCGCATCTTTATGAAATTTGACTATAAAAGTAATATATCATAACGGTTGTTGGTATTGGTTGTGGTGGTAGCTTTATAATATTATACATTCCTAGTTAGCTTGTCTCTTCAGTATCTTTTTTTCCATTGAAAATAGAAAGTAGACGAAACAATACCTGATTTCAACCCTAAACCCTAACGTTCAATACTGTGAAGCAATACACGATTTCAATCAAAACACCATCGTTCACCCTAGCTTGTCTCTTCAGTATCCATTCTTCGCTGTGTATTTTTCATCATCGTCATCATCGTCAAGGAGGTTGACAAGACCATCACGATCGTGACGTCGAGAAGGAAGAGTACACCAACCAAGTTATCACTGTCGAGAAGGAAGGCAACAACAACATCGTCGTTGCCGTAAAGAAGGAAGATAACACCAACACCAACACCAACATCATTTACTTAGTCATCACATTTAGGGTATGTAAAATATTTTCCCCATGCATCTATAATAAACTTCATTTTCCATTGTTGTAGTTGTTGTTGTTTATGTTGTGGTTGTTGTTTATGTTCTTGTTGTTCATGTTATTGTTGTTGTTGTTGTTTTTGAACATAGATGTCGACCTTGTCGAGTTCTACATCAGATACTAGCGAAGAAACTCAAACAAATGAGAGTTTTGCGAATGGAACTCAAACAAATGATACTCAATCGAAAAGGTCACAAAGAGGTGTCACAATGATGCCCTAATTCACATCAATCCGCAACTCATCAGGTGAAAAAATTTCGATCGAGTTTGATCCGTTCTACATAGTAGTGGATTGTGAACATCACTCTACTTTTAAGAGTTGTTTTGTGTTCCTTTCATGTAGCAAAGTCTGTATACTGGTAGATGATTGGAAACAAGTGGATGATAAAGTCAAAGAAAGCATATGGACAGACGTTAAGGTATTACATACTATAATTTTCATATATTCAATATCACTACCTATAATTTTTAATACATACTTATATATTGATTTAAATGTAGTTGAATTTTGAGTTTACCGATGACTCAAAGTTGGAAAAAAAGTGGATATCTTATGTCGGTACTCGTTGGAGGGGATTTAAGTCACAGCTCATAGCTGGCTACATTAGGAAGCCTAAGAGTGGTCTTGCTCGTCCATGAATTCGATATAGTTTTATATCGAAGAAGCAATGGAACAAGTTTGCGAAGATACGTCGTTCTTAGGAATTCAAGGTTATTACTAGTCTTATGTAACCGATAATGTTATGCTAATGAGTTTTAGATAATAATCATATATATTTTTCACTATGTTAATAATAGGTTAAAAGCGGAATATGAATACAAAATAAGGCAAAGAACATGTACCCCCATAGATTGTCTCGTGGGGGTTACAGGAAACTTGAGAAAAGAATCATGCTTGAAAAGTAACCAAAAATAGGAGATGATCGCATCCCATCTCCACCGTTAAGACATGAGAAATGGAAGAGGACTCAATTAAGACAAATGGAAAGTACACCTCTGAGGCGTTAAGACTAGTTGCTGAGAAAACTGTAAGTATGATTTGCTTTGCTTATATTATTTGTTATTTAAATACGTTGGTACCAATATATGTAATTTGCTCATGTTGTGTAGGATAAATTGGTTGAGGCGGTCCGTGAAGGCACATATGTTCCAGAAGCATGACATGACATATTAGTATAAGCTATCGGAACAAATGAGCATGGTGGGTGTCGCTACTGCGAAAATCGGCGCCGGCTGACAGAAGAGTCGCCACCGTGCGTTATTTATCCCTCAGAGCGGGAAAGGAAACGCTCGAAGTAAACCTCGCAAAAAACGGGGAAAAGGTATGGTCATCGCAACCATAGCCTGGGTTCGGGAGTCGGTTACGCAAGGGGAAGGTATTAGCACCCCTCACGTCCGTCGTACTCGACGGGATCCACGCTTGCTTGGGTTGTCTACTGGATGCAAAACAATCTTATCTACGGCTGCTAAATCTAAACGGAAGGGAATTGACTCGATAGAGTATCGCACTCTATGCCTACGTATTCTCAAGAGAGAAAGTCAGAGTCAACGTAGTTCGGGACTACGGGGAAAATTGGCTCGCCAAGACCTCGCGTCTTGTGCCTACGTACTTCCACGGGATGGAAGATCAGAGCCTTGCGTAGTTCAGACTAACTACGGCTAAACAAACATTCTCACACAGCAGTGAGAAAAACAACTGGTTTCACAGGGTCGGGAACCTATGGTCAAAACTATGGCTGAGTCTCAAATGCATTTGGGCAAGAGAGAAAAAGGGGTACTCAATTAATCGTCAGCGGGAAAGTCTCGATCGCACAGCCGCGAGAGAACAAAAGTTAGTCGTTAGTGTGCTCGCTAGGATATCGCATCCTATGCCTACATATCTTCGTCTGGTACGAAGAATCAGAGCAGCTGTAGTTCGGCTACTATCGGACCACAGCTCAAATCTCGTTTTATTCATCTCTGAAAAATGATTACAATGGGTTCATACTGAAATAAATCTCCTAGGAAACGCTATCCTATTCTATCCTGAAAAGATCGAATGAAAATAGCCCCCTAACAAATGGGCCTCTAATTCTATCCTAAAAGTCGAAAAATAAAATCT